TTCACTTCTACTCCTATTGTGTTGCTTTATTCCCCTTTATGTCTCTTGTATTACTACCACTACTACTACTACTCACTAGCACCACCACCACCACCACTACTATTACAGCCACTACCAGCATTATCTCTACCACTACTACTCCACTTCCTTCTTTCTTCCTCTCTCCCATCCCTGTCCTCCTCCTCCTCCTCCTCCTATGTATACTGGCTCCCTCATCTTCGTGTGTTAATATGAGTAGTCAATGGTCCAAGTCAGACCAAAATGGTGTCATAAGGTTCTTTCTTCTGTGTTTGTTACTTGTGTAATAGCTACTCTGGCTGGCTCATTTTAAGATTTAGAATACATCATCATTATCAACCTAAGTATATGACTTTGAGGTCATAAGTGATAGCATTAAATTGACCAACAGATATTCTGTGCATAATGTGTTTGTTTTCAAACGTTCCTTCACTTTGTGAGCTGACAACTCAGAACACCAGTTGAGCATTCTAGAACATTTCAGTTTTTGCTTAAGATATAGAGCTCTGCAGTCAATTATAATCTAATAAAATATCTTTAGGTGTTTGAGCTTTTGTACACCTATTTTCTATAATTAATATGGAGTGACATAAGGTTGGAGGATAAACAAATCTCTGTATTGTAATATTTAAAATGTGTTACCTTTACAGATCAAGCCAAAAAGAATACAGAAGGTATAGTTGGTGAGTCAGTGGTGTTGTTCACAGCTTCTGTACCATCACCGTGGATGGGTCCTCCACCTCTCCGCCTCCGCAAGATCCTGGATCTTGCTCCCATCACCATCACTGATCAGACTCCAATGGAGACAGTGGTTGACATGTTCAGAAAGCTTGGCTTGAGGAAAAACTCTTGTCACACACCAATGGGTATGTCTAGTCTTGTTGAATGAAGTGCTTGCTAGTATACATTATTGACCCTTTGACTATAGGGATCCCTAATTCTAAAGTCTCGTTCTGTGTCGAAAAATATTTGAAAAAAAAAAAATTATTTTTTCTTGCCAGAATCTTAAGAATATTTTTTGTAAGTGTTTTAAAACAAAAGTAAATTTTTGCTATCAATACTTACTGAGATATAGAGGCGTGAAGTTGACAAAAGGTGAACTGCTTATGGTAACATCAGGGACTGCTGCTCACTCAGTAATATTATTTTTACTTTTATTGTACTTTTTCTTTTATTTTTTTAATATTTTATTTTTTCAAGTAACTTTTGTGGCCTGTGAGACCAATATAGTGCATAATGTATGTATATCCAGTCGTTGTATGCAACACAGTAACTGCACAAATATTTTTATCATTATGTTTACAGAACCTGCTTACACAAACCTACAATAAAAGAAGTTGTTTATTACTATTGTTCTATAATATATATACACACAGTGGAACCTCTACTTGCGAGTTTAATCCGTTCCATGACCTTGCTCGCAACTGGATTTGTTCGTTTGCAGAGTCAATTTTCCTCATTTAAATTAACTGAAATGCAATTAATCCATTCCAGTGGAATTCTGTACTTCAATAATTTCGCTAATATCAACTCTACGGCTTATTTATCTATCTCACTTCATCTAATATGACATAAACAATATAAATAACATAGAGACCTGATACTTAGTCTAAAATGAATGAAATATATTTTTTTTTTTTTTCAACAAGTCGGTCGTCTCCCACCGAGGCAGGGTGACCCAAAAAAGAAAGAAAATCCCCAAAAAGAAAATACTTTCATCATCATTCAACACTTTCACCACACTCACACATTATCACTGCTTTTGCAGAGGTGCCCAGAATACAACAGTTTAGAAGCATATACGTATAAAGATACACAACATATCCCTCCAAACTGCCAATATCCCAAACCACTCCTTTAAAGTGCAGGCATTGTACTTCCCATTTCCAGGACTCAAGTCCGACTATATGAAAATAACCGGTTTCCCTGAATCCCTTCACTAAATATTACCCTGCTCACACTCCAACAGATCGTCAGGTCCCAAGTATCATTCGTCTCCATTCACTCCTATCTAACACGCTCATGCACGCTTGCTGGAAGTCCAAGCCCCTCGCCCACAAAACCTCCTTTACCCCTCTTTCCAACCCTTTCGAGGACGACCCCTACCCCTCTTTCCTTCCCCTATAGATTTATATGCTTTCCATGTCATTCTACTTTGATCCATTCTCTCTAAATGACCAAACCACCTCAACAACCCCTCTTCTGCCCTCTGACTAATGCTTTTTATTAACTCCACACCTTCTCCTAATTTCCACACTCCGAATTTTCTGCATAATATTTACACACACATTGCCCTTAGACAGGACTCTCCACTGCCCCCAACGACATCCTGCAAGTTTTTTTTTGCAAAATTGTACCCTAACAGTTTGTGAGTGACCGTATTCAGCGACCAGCCGGTACCGTCCGCCATCACCGTGCGCACAAAGCCAGTCTCCCACACCAATGTTTCACCTCATGTGCCATTGTTTACCAGCACATGGCCATCACCCCACGGTTCATACAATAACATTTCAGAAATAAAGCCATGGTTAGTGTGTATGCAACTGCCTAAATAAGTCACCATGGGCCCAAGAAAGCTATTGCAAGCCATTTGTAAAGAAAGCGAGGAACACGTGTATTAACGCTCCTGTGGGGAGCCAACAGCAGGATAATACTGCACCAGCCTCTCGGGGCCCTTAAACACAACAACAAGTTTGGTGAGTGTCATGTGCCGAACACATGGTGTGTGATTCCTTCTCGTATATATCCATATATTAGTGATGCAAGATTACATGGGGAGTTTAAAATGTGGGCCTGTAGTTATAGCTTTCTTTTTTCTTACAGAAGCAAGACATCACCATCCCTGTAGAAGCCGTTCTTAGATTTCAGAAGTACTATGAAGATTCTAGAGTTCAATAAGCCTAGAGATAAGGCCTGTGTTTCTATCACAACAATTTATAGAACATAGAAATCCTGGGCTACCTGGTGGTATCCGCGCTAGGACTACATCACAACATGGAGCGTTTACTGGAAACCTGAGCGGCTAGAAGACTGTGACCCAGCTATCCAACGGCTGCTCCGGAATGGAGCACTGGTTTAACCTTTCAAAAACATTCTTCTTGGACCCTTACTACAGAAATCTAGATAAACTAAAGTCTGCTCATGCAATTTTGGTCACCTAAGATAATGATGCTATTTTCTGAGTTTAATGACCCACGAAGAAGCTATCAAATCCCTCAAGTCTCAGTATATTAAAACCTTCAAATGAAATCTTTGCACGCTACTCGCCTTGCAACTCGCCGCCAGCAGATTGATGAATCCTTAGAGGAATACCTTCAAGCACCGAAAATTTTAGGTAAGACAGTCCAACTTCCAAGCATGACATCTGCTCTGTAGTGTGGAAAGTCCCATCATGGATGCTTTTTCATTGGCCTTGCAATCACCAAAATAAGGCAGCTTTTTGGAGAATAAAACTCTCGACTTAGCCGCTGCCCTTTGACCAGGCAGAGAGCTCTTGATTCAGCCCAGAAGAATTCTGAAGTATACAGTACCACACAGCCTCTTGAGTGGTAACGACTGCAATTCCTGACCAAGACTCTTGCAATGAAGTTACTGTGGAACCTGCCTCAGTGACAGCACACAGTTAACGGTGTTTTTCTTTGTGTTTTTCAAGACATCCACGTCCTAAGTGGTCCTGCTCGTGAATCAATGTGCCATAAAAGCCACAAGGAGAGGTCACTTTTATTTATTTATTAATTTATTGTAGTTTATTTATTTAAAAATGAAAAAAATTTGTGCACACATACAGAGGTACAAAAATACATGAAAAACAGTAATGCCAAAGCCACTTATACTATGGATAGCATTACGACGGGCTGGCTTAAAATTAACTTTAAGATGAACTAAGCAAAGATGACATCGGTGTTAAAACTTAATGTAAAACAGATTACATAAAGCACAAGTGAGTATTACTAAGACCGGTCATAAGGTTGTATGCATTGTTGTAACATTCAGAAGAATGGAGTATTCTTTAGTAGGTATTTAAAAAATAATAAAAGTTAATTGGTTTTAGGTTAACATTTATGTATAAAATTGTGAGAAACAATTAAGAATAGCAATTTATAAGGTTCAGTTATGCAGAAGTTATGGGGTTTTGGGTGAAAGTGATCTTTGAGAAGAGACTTGATTGTAAAACAGGTAGTGTTTTCTTTTATTATGTACAGGTACTGAGTTCCCAGATTTTAGGGCCTTTTATGTGCATTGAGTTTTTGTCAAAGTGTGAGATGGACGACTAGACATCAAAGCGTGATTCTGAGCCTTGGTTAATGGTCATCGCTTCTTTGATTTTGGCATGAGATGGTTGAGGGGAGGGGTTAATATCAGAGTAAGTGTTCTATATATGTAATAGTGCGTAATAAGTATGAAGTTTTGTATGGTGAATAAGGTTTAGTGTATTGAATATTGGTGGAAGTGTTCTGCCTATATAGAATTTGTACATTCTAACACGCGCAGCTTTTGTTGGGTTAATTATGGTCTGAGATGTTACTTGTTGTTGAGGCCCCTGAAAAATGTCCATAGGTGAGATAGGTAATAAAGAGATGATATAGGGCCGAGAGGGCTGACTGTGGAGCATAGTAACCGTATCTCGCTAGATATGCCTACAGTCCTTGGAAATTTCTTAGAAATTTGTTGAATATGTTATGCAATTTGAGTCTATTATCAAGGTGGATTCCCAAGAATTTTCCCTCTGCTAGCTTTGTGAAGGTGATTCCTTTATCATTATTGTTAAGAGGGACATCTGTAGCTCTGTTACCAAACTGAATGAAAGTAGGGTTTTTGTCAATGTTTATGTAAAGTCTGGTAGTCCTCATCCAGGTAATATTTCTGTAATTCAGTATTTACAGTATTGGCTAGCGTGACGGGGCCTCGGGTGGGAGACGACGTATGTAGTGTCATCTGCAAATAGTTGGTTTGAAAGTAATTGCCGACGCGTTTGTAGGTCAATTTATGTATAGGAGAAGAGAAGAGGGCCAAGTACACTTCCCCTGTGGACACCAACTGTTATTGGATGTGCAGAAGAGATTGCCCCGCTTTGCATACACATTATTGGCCTTCTGTTGCTGAGATACTGAGTAGTTGAGGGAGTGCCTCTCTATATACCAATAGTGTACAATTTTTACTGGAGCAAGTCATGAGTTAACTGTATCAAAAGCTTTACCGTAAGTCCAATGACTATCCCCAGAGGGATTCTTTCTTAATCTATGCAGTGTATATATTTCAGCATGTGTTTAATAGCATCATAGTATTTTTATTTGGCCTGAATCCAAAATTGGCAGTGGTTGAGTATGTTTTTGGGAGATAAGTAGGAGTAGATTTCGTTTTAATGATCAATTTTTCGAAGATTTTTGGAGAGAGGGTGTAAGTTGGATAATGCCTATAGTTATTACCAACTCGTTTGTCTCCTCCTTTGTGGATCGGGGAGACCCTTCGATTTTGATACTGTGGGGAAGGTGGAGGATTCAATTGGTTTTGGTAAAGATGGTTGGCAGTGATTGTGATAGCACTTTGTGACACGTTTTGTATATAAAGGGTGGTAAGGTTTTTTAAATCTCCTGCCTTGTTTTTTTTTCGCGAGTTGATAATAAGGAGACTTCGTATGGGTTAGTCGGAGCTAGGAATCAGTGTGTTCGGGTATGCCATGAGTAGTCATTTGGTGGGGTATCTGAGCTTGGGATTGTTATATTGCAAGTTTGCCTATATGGAGAAGAAGTCCATGAGTCTGTTTGCAGGTTCTGTTGTGGGGAGTTGGGGGTTCATCTGATTTACTGCTAATTTTTATTTCGCTATTTCTGATATCTTTTTTGTTCCTAGAATTTCTGATAGGGTTTTCCCAGTCTTTATTATATCCAC